TCCTTTCCTTGGGGAACTGAGTTAACTGAATACAATTGTCAGAGTGTCCGAGTAAGTTGAGGCAGTGCGTGGGTCTCTGTGTGTGTGTCAACCTCTCGAGAGCCGGGTGGTCGGGAGACATGACTCAGCTGCAGGGGCGCCAGAGCAGCCGCGAGAGATGACTCAGCCGCGAGAGATGACCATCCGCGTACCAAAGTTGTACTACAAAGTCGCCAGTTCTCAGCTTCCAGCTCCACAGATTGCTCCGCGTACTAAAGTTGCACTGCAAAGTCGCCAGTTCTCATCTTCCAGCTCCCCAGATACTCCGCGTACTAAAGTTGTACTAGAAAGTTGCCAGTTCTCATCTTCCAGCTCTCCAGATACTCCGCGTACTAAAGTTGTACTACAAAGTCGCCAGTTCTCAGCTTCCAGCTCCACAGATTGCTCCGCGTACTACAGTTGTACTACAAAGTCGCCAGCTCTCATCTTCCAGCTCCCCAGATACTCCGCGTACTAAAGTTGTACTACAAAGTCGCCAGTTCTCAGCTTCCAGCGCCCCAAATGCTCTCCGCACTAAAGTTGTACTACAAAGTCGCCAGTTCTCATCTTCCAGCTCCCCAGATACTCCGCGTACTAAAGTCGTACTAGAAAGTCGCCAGTTCTCAGCTTCCAGCTCCACAGATTGCTCCGCATACTAAAGTTGTACTACAAAGTCGCCAGTTCTCATCTTCCAGCTCCCCAGATACTCCACGTACTAAAGTTGTACTACAAAGTCGCCAGTTCTCAGCTTCCAGCTCCCCACATACTCCGCGTACTAAAGTTGTTCTACAAAGGCGCCAGTTCTCAGCTTCCAGCTCGCCAGATTGCTCCGCGTACTACAGTTGTACTACAAAGTCGCCAGTTCTCAGCTTCCAGCTCCACAGATTGCTCTGCGTACTAAAGTTGTACTACACAGTCCTCATCTGCCAGCTCCCCAGATACTCCGCGTACTAAAGTTGTACTACAAAGTCGCCAGTTCTCAGCTTCCAGCTCCACAGATTGCTCCGCGTACTAAAGTTGCACTACAAAGTCGCCAGTTCTCATCTTCCAGCTCCCCAGATTCTCATCTTCCAGCTCTCCAGATGCTCCGCGTACTAAAGTAGTACTAGAAAGTCGCCAGTGCCTGCATTTAGCGCACTCGACACGCACGGTCTCCGCAGAGGGTTGCGCGCGCACCGGACGCATCGCACTCTCGCCTGCATTTCGCGCACTCGACGCGCGCGATCTCCGCAGAGGGTTGCGCGCACACCGGACAATATCGCACTCTTGCCTGCATTTCGCGCACTCGACACGCACGATCTCCGCAGAGGGTTGCGCGCACACCGGACGAATCGCACTCTCGCCTGCATTTGGCGCACTCGACACGCACGATCTCCGCAGAGGGTTGCGCGCGGAACTCACCAATCGCACTCTCGCCTGCATTTCGCGCACTCGACACGCACGATCTCCGCAGAGGGTTGCATTTTCGGTTGACGCTGTTCGTCCCACCCTCCGCCTTTAAGATAGAATTTATAAGGCGGGGAAATGCTTTTCATTAGGACATCTCCCGTGCAAGTTGTCCATACTCATACTTGCATACTTGTGCATACTCTCACTGGGATTGCACTGGGAGACTTGCATACTTGCACTTGGATACTTACACTTGCATACTTACCCTTAATGCTTTTGTTCAAGTGCAAGTGTGGAAGTGTCAGTGTGTAAGTGTATAAGTGTCGAAGTGTCAGTGTTCAAAGGATTTTCCGGAAGAATCCTTCGCAATGCTTTCGGGAAAAGCACACGTCAAGGTGTTGGAAAATTGCATACTTGCATGCTTGCGTAAGTACATATTTATATACATACATACTTACGTACATACACACATACATGTATACATGTCTACGCACATCCGTTTCTTTTATTTAAGTGTATATTTGCGCAGCTGATCTGGACGACAATGGAAGACGGTTGTGAGCGCACATGTTTGGATGTTGAAGATGTTGCCACGAGGTTGTTCTAAGATGTGCGAGAAAGAACCTGGAACCATGCAGGAACCAAGATTCCACAGAGCTCTTGGCAGGAACCCTCCCAAAGATCTATAATAGCATGCACCACGTAAGTTTGCATTAGATATGGCGTGACACACAGTGTTCCATAGAAGGCAAGAACGTAAAGAAAAGGGATGGGCCTGTTGTGAGCGGCAGAAATTTAGATAAATTGCATTCTTGTGTACATATTCGGAGAATTAATCCAGAGATTTTTGAGCAGATTGCACTTTTAAGCCCGTACTTTTAACATTGCCATGGTTCTAAAGGGTCAGGGTGTTATTCAACAGTTTGTGGATATGATTCAATCTATGTTTTGCAGTACCCAACTAGTCCAGAGATCAGAGTAGTTATGGAAACATTGTGTGTTTTTTGATTGTATTGTTATTGTTGGTTTCGTGTTTGTTGAGTGTTTTGTGTGGTGATGATCTAGATTGATCCAGATTAATCCAGACAAACCAAAAAACAAAAATTGGGCAACTAGTCCAGAGATCTGACTAGTTATGGATTTTGTGTTGTGTTTCCAGACAAGGGTAGCTATGGAAACATGTTTTTTATAAATTAAACATGATTAATCAAGATTTTTCTGCGGTCTTAGAGTGCAGCAGACAGATGCGGCCAACACAAGGCATCTCATGCCACGTATGCAGCAAGCCGGCGGTAAGCTGTGGACGTCCTCGGATTAGTGGGAAAACCACCGCTCACAACAGGCCTTTCCCCAAAAAAATGACTTCACGTTGTCATGTTTGCACAGTGTCTTTGGAACATTCTTGTGCCGGCCCGATCAGGCGCCGAGACACTCGCTATGGCACAAGCCCTGGCGCAATTGCGACACGTGATCCCTGCGTCCCAGTTGAGGCCAAGTGCGCACGCATAGTGGGCAAACATATCAAGTTTTAACAAGCACTTCGCAAGTGATTCAGGTTCACGTAGGATGTTTAACTCGTCAAGTCGCTCTTGTGACTTCGCCTTACACTTACAGCTGTGGGCACACTGCTTTTGATCTTCGGAGGCATCGCTTCCGTTTTCTCAGCCGCAGTTTGCGTCGAGCTGTTGACTGCCAACTTCTTCAGCCACATGAGCAGGTCGGCAAGCCAAGTCTGGTCATACGATTTTGCCAAAACTGTAGTTGAGAGCCTGGATTGTTTTGTTGTCCAAATTGTGAGCCCTGTTCCCGCGGGCTATGTGCTCTTTATCCTGCAGCTTTCTGCTCGAGAACATACACACGGCATTGTCATCAGCATTTTCATGCATCCATGCCGAGAGGTTTCGGTGCTTTTCTTAGGTTCTTCCATCTTGCGTTAATGTATGAATGAAGGTGTCAGCTATGAAACATGAACCATTCATAAGGATTTATCAGACACGGCTTGGACCACTGAGGCATCTTCAGTTCCTTTGCTCACAACGTTGCAGGTTCGCTTTTGCAGACATTTGTTTTTTGTCTTGGGCAAAGTAATTTGCTTGGAGGTGATCCTTGGGATGGTTTGACCGCTGAGAAGCTGATTTCAACAATGCTGGGTGCTTGGACCTGGAACAGAGGTCAACATGTTCCAACACACCAATCTCGTACTGGGGGGGTCAAAGGAGCTGAGCATTGCTTGAAAGGGTTGATGCGACAGATTCTGAGGCACCCAAAGATGCAAAAACTTCTCAAGACCATGCCAGACGTTCGCAGAGACTACGTACGAGAGCTCGACACGGCACTAGTTGAGAGCCGATCCTTGTCGTTTGGCTCTTGTGGAGTCGCCTTTAACAAATGTGGCTTCTTGGGTGTGTGCTTTTGCGGCCCCACTCAATGTAAAGGTTCGCGGACTTTTCGGGGCCCCCTGGAAAGCAATTGTTTGTGAATCATACGATCTAACTTTTACTGTTGTATATGTGTATTGTAATTCTCTAACAAATCAAACCTCTGCTAACAAATCAATCATTTGCTAACAATTCAATCATTTACTACAAAAGTAACGGTAGAACAACATATACAATATATCTCATCTGCTTTAACCAATGTAAACAACGTCGACTTGTGATAGTCGAGTGTGAGGCAGGGGGAGGGGTAAGTTCCCCAAAGTGGCAGTGAAGTAACTGACAACACTGGACCTGATCGAATACACCAAGTATGCCCGAATGTGATGCGGAGTCCCGAGCGAGTGTGACAACACGCTCACTTTTCTATGGCGCGCAGTGCAGTATGTGCGGACTTCAATCTTGAGCCAAAAGCAAGTGAATTAAGCTATAAAGCTGCGTGAAGAATAATGTACAAAGTAACTACGGACAACAGGTGCTACACGCGTATAGCGTAGACACGCCTAGGGGACCTAGGACACTACAAAGTACAAACAGGCACAAACTTTCTTCCTGTCGAAGCTTACAGCTGCAAAAGCAAGAGCACAGTGCCAATGAATTACAAAAATCCTGGCATCGCAAGACTTGACCGTAGATGCCATTCTGGCTGAGGTGACGCAAAGTTCAAAGTCCTATCTAATCTATGTACACGTGTCAAGTTGCTGAAAGATAGCCGGAATGTCGGAAATCGTGATTTCTAAGTCTTGTTCAAATAAGGCATCAAAAATCTGGCACTAAATCTTGAAAGTTTTAACTATGCCTTCAATTTGCGACTCTTTATGCTGTTTATGCCGGCACATGAGGTAGTTGTCTCGGAAAACCGACAATCACCAGCGCCAGTTCCTACGTGAATTCCACCTTCCTGACCCCCATGAAGATGATGCTGAGGACTGCCACCAGCTGGCATGTTCGGAACCCTTCTTCTTCCTGCGTTGTTGAGATGCTCGGCTGCGGGCCCGGATATACGAACGACATGCATGTTGGAAACTGCATTGAAAAAGGATGATGGTATGCTTCATCACTGCTTTTCAAGCAGAAATCAAAATGATTCAAGTGCTTTAGGTATTCATCCACCTTGATCAATGTCTCTTTCTGGCGTGGTGGCTCTTCGTAGGAGGTCCTGCCCATGTCTTCCGGGATGTCGGAAGTCCTGCTCACCAATGTGTGCATATCCTTACCGTAGTTAAGGACGATTTGCATCAAGCAATCGACTTCAGCCTGCTGACCTTCTAGTGCGGCAAGTTGTTCAGTGGCTAAAGTTGAGACTTCGAAATTATAATAGGTAATGCGCTGATGCGCCTGACGTCGCTTGTTGGCTGATACCAAAATCTGGTCAAGGAGAGCCAAAGCGGCTCCTGTATGCGGATCCGACTTGAACTGTCAATTGGTGAACAAATTGGCGTCACAGACGATCACGTCTACCTGGTCTGCTACGGCAGCAGTTAAGAAGCTGGCAACCCGAACTGGTCCGAAGCAATCCGAGCCCGATCTTGGTTGAACCAAGGTCGAGGTAGTGGATTGGTGGACGGTAAAGAGCTGGTCAATCAAGCATTTGGGTGCCCGTCGTGGGACGCATGGTAGCATCAACGGCAGGAAGGCAAACAGTTTCAACTCCTTTTGCGCTAAACCAAAGCGCCATTGCGAACTTCTTGACAGACAATGGTCAAGGAATGACCAAGCGTCCAGGCAGCACCGCCTAAACGGGACAGGCTGGGCCAATCTGCTCAGGGTCCAGCTTTGTCAAGCACGCCCAAACTTCGAGAAGCTGTCGGTAGCGCGCAATCGGATATCTATAGGGCTTCCAACCGGGTGGAACTTCACGAGTGTACTGCTGCACCAGCACGGCGCTTTCTTCATTGTTCATAGTGCATGGTCGACATGGTGCTCGAGAGCGTGGTAGTCCTGGAAGTCGCCAAAAGTGAAGGAAGTGAAGTGGAGTGAGGTGGAACGATGTGGTAGCAATTGCAGAGGAGGCCGCGGATGGACACAAGGACCTGGCTCGTCAGTGACTTATCCAAAGGGAACCTCAAGCAAGTTCACAAAGGCGATCAGATTCGTTGCTTCAATGGTCGATGTCAGGGTCGTGTAGACCTGCTGAGTCACCCGTCTGCTAGAGACATGGGGCGGATGGAGCGTTCAGCTCCGCTATTCAAGTAGCGGTTCGGATATCGAATGCAATAGTACGCGGCACACTTCTCAATTTAGCGCGTGTCAATGTCAGTCCATGCGCACCGTTCATTCGCGTGTGACTTGAGCCACAGGTTGCGGCGGTTTCGTGAAACGTTTCGGGTCGTGCCTCATGCTCATACAATTTTCTCCCAGTTGACCAGTTGGAACTCTGGCAGCACGGACATCAACTGAATGCAGAATCTCAGTAGTTCTCAGTAGTTGTCAGTCTCAGTCAATAGTTGCTGCGAAGCCCGAATTTTTATTCAGGCCTGCTTGAACCAGACGCTGAATGAACAACATATTATTCAGGATATCAACAAACACTATATCATTTTTTCAGATTGGCTTTTGGGGCTGACACTCGAAATCAGAGGCTCCATGTTGACATCACCCCTGACCAACTTGCAAAGAGTCAACGTCGTATGACTGTGGGCTTTGTTCGGGACTTATTGATGTTTGTGATTATATTCTCAGGTCAGGAAGGACCTCGCGTCCCATGGCTCTTGCTTTTCTTGTTTTCTTGTAATCACACTCCGATTGTATATGCGTACTCATTTCGCCCAGTGTAAACCACTGTAGGCTTCAGTATGCATGTTCAGATCTGTTCTCGGATGGATTTGGAAGTTGCAACGCATTGACGTTCTCAGTGACGTTCTCAGTGCAAAGCATATCACTTCATTCCAGGCGTTTGGTATGGGCAGGTCTAGTGGATTCTGTGGCGCTGTCACTTTTGCCAATCCTGTGCCTATCTGATTCTTCCTTCTCAGTTTCGCTATCGGCCGTAACTCGGGAAATCCCCCAAATTGCAATTTTGCTGTCGGCTGTGATCCTGCAATGGTACCTCGGCCGCAAGATGCAGAAGAAAAACAGACGCTCTAAGGGAGTCAAACCATGCCCAACAGCCACTCCTCATTTCAAAAAGGAGCCACGCTTCAAGTCACCTGTCGTCGTGTATTCCCTTGCGTGCTCCCCCGCTTGGGTCGCGTCGGCTAGGGAACAGAATTGAGTTATAAGTTATATGTTAAATTGTTGGTGCATGTTGGTGCTACTCACTCCTCGTGCAATGAAGGACACGCAAGTAGTTCTGATGACATCAAGATGCTGCGTGAGCAGATCGAAGGTGCCATAAGGCAAGGTGTTGGTGTTGCGGTCAAGATATATAATATAGACCAAAACCCCTTGGCAGGAAATGAATTCCGAGACACTCGGATGCAGTGTGCATGGTGTCAAGCGATAGCCTTTGAGCTGACGAGTTGCTGTGTTCAAGTCTTGGTTATATTGCTTTGAGTTCAGCAAAGGATTGGGAAGAACCCACAAGCCTTGGACGACTTGATCAGAGAGACTGCTTCGAAGATGGCATACTGCCCGTTCTTCGTGCTTGAACCAACCTCAATCCGGAGGAGGCCTTTTGGCAAAGTGCAACAGGAATGGGAAAGAGGATGGAACAACGATTAAGAACAGCGGTTTCTTTTGGTTGGGACAGGTCCACAGAGTTGTTGTTTGCTGCTTGCGATTGGAGGCAGCATGCTGGATTTCTATAAGCCACAAGCCATTGTGTAGATCTGGGCGTGATCAAGAAGTTCTGGCACAAGTTCCTTTGCGTTCTGCAGCATTCTGAGAGAGCGACAATGGGCCGTAGAGTGCAGAGTGTGCATTATATATTACTACAGCATACGTGTCCCGAAGAAGTATTCAAGTGTCAATTTGAATGCGGGTGCTTTGCTCGAGTGGTTACAAGACTGCTTCACTCGTAGATCTGCCGGGTTTCACGACGGGGTTGATATGGGATGTCATGTTATTTAATGTCACGTGTGTCCTGCGTTTTTAACTTCAATTATATATATATTGTATCAAATACAACATCGGGCAATTCAACAGCAAGAAGTTTCTCAATAAAGGGTAGGTAGGTTGTTAAAACCATATCACTTCACTCGGTGAAAATGCATGCGCAATGACGAGCAAGATGCATGATTGATTGGTTGGTTGATTCATTCATTTATGCATTCATTCAGTTATTTGTCTATACAATTGCTTTTGATTGAATGATCGATAAACAACTTAATGATCGATAAAA